GGGACGATGGAGGATCCTAGTCAGGGACATCTCGCCGACTGAGGAGCTTAGTACCAACACACATCAGTCAGAAAAGGAGATACAAGGAGAAGTTTTTGATGTCAGTTTAGAAAATTTTGGCCCAAGACTGCATACAAGAAAGCCTGGAAAGACCTAGATGAAAACCTTCATAGAGACAACACTTCAAAGTGCCGCTGAACGAAAACTGAAATCTTTAACAAGACTAATTTACACCGCCGGGATTGAAAGATTTCGACAGATTCTTCAAAAAACTTCATATCAAGAACATCAGGTGTGAACGAACTGAAGGTCTTGAAAAAGAGGTATAAAGAGGCCAGGAAAGAAGAGAGGTCATGGCTGCAGCAAGCAAGAGATACACAGAGGACAGAACGTATAGGTCTTTGCAAGGCTCGATCAGTCGAAATGGGAGGACAATGTGCATGGAACCAGTGGATCATAACAGAGCGGGTGCTAACTTGGGCAGACATTTGGCAGAACAAGCCACTGTGACTCATATTTCTTTTGATGTCAGTTTATGATCTGCTGCCATCTCCAACCAGCCTCCACAGATGGGGTTTAGACGATGACTCAAAATGCTGTGACAAACCAGGTACCTTGGAACATGCCCTGTCATCGTGCCAGACTTAACTAACACAGGGCCGAAATAGGTTGAGGCATGATGGAGTCTTTGGGGAGTTAACAGACCGACTGAAGCGTGCGAAAAAGGAAGAAAAAAACTAAAAAGAACGAGAGCACCCACCATGATCAACTTCGAGGCAGAGGAGACAAGCATGAAGCCAGCTTCAATCACACTTCGATCATAGACGAGTCCGACCAGTGGGAGAGAAGGGTCTACTTAGGAAAGAAGTTGATCTTCCACGAGATAGGCCTGATATTGTGATATGGTCCTTTAAAGACAAGAAGATGGTGACCATAGAACTCAATGTCATATTGGGGTCGAGGTTCGACATGGCATATGAGCGGAAGAAGGGTAAGTATACCGAGCTTATAGACCAGTGCAGAAGCTGCGGTTGGAAAACATGACATTAACCAATTATGATTGGCGCCAGAGGATTCCCCGCACAATCTGTGTGGAGAGTGCCCTATGGATCAAAGGAGGCGAGGGAAAGCAAGCTGTTGGGAGACTTGGACAGTGAACAGAGAAAACATCCAGCTGGCTGTGATTAAAAGTGAGGGGAAGAGCTGGCAGTTAACCACTGAGCAGTAGTACTCGATGAGCACTGCGGTTATAGCGTCCGGAGAATGTCGGATGCAGTGTTATTTATTTTATTGACAAATTGTAAATTTTTAAGATGCAGTTTACTGTATGTGTTTACATATTTTAACTGTGGACCACGAGCTTTGCTACACTCACTACTAATTGGGTTAACGCACATGGCCGTTCACATGGCGGGTCAATAGGGAGGAAATCTTGCAGCTAACCACTGACCCGTAGTGTCTGATCAGTACTGTAGTTCCACTGTCCGGAGAGTGTCATGGTATTTTATGAGAGACTTGTTGATTGGCGGCTACCAGCTGATGAGTAATAGCCGGCGAGCAATACGGCGTTACCGGCTAAGCGGTACCAGTGGTTTGGTACAACACACGCTGTATACAACACATAAATGATTTAGTTGTGCGCGTTCTTTATTACTATGGTTTATATTTTCAAATGACAACGAAACGTTTCGTTGTCAGCATATGATGTAAGAGAGATAAATCTACGGCGTTATTGAACTTTCAATGGGATACATATAGGAGGGAGGATAACTCTGAGAGAAGTACATTCCTTGAAGAGGAGGGTAATCTTTAAGTTGTTGTTCCATATTGCCACGCGAGTTCGGTCATCTTAGGTTGATAACGGTAATTAACCATCGTTGCTACCAAGTGGCTCTGAGACGAACAGATATGTGAACTGTGTATGCTTATCAAACATTTCTGTAACACAGCATGCTATTTCTGGTGTATCTATTTATGAAAATGTAACAATTTAAGAACATGACACAGTTGCCGCTGCTGTTTGACAAGAATTCGCGCTGTGTCAAAATATTATCCAATCCGGTATAAGGGAAATAACTATTACGTTGGTTAAGTCGTATTGGACAGTAAATAAAGTCACTACATATACTAATAATTAGAAAAAAAGGAGTACAATGTCTCTTTTCTCCATGCATGTTTTCCAACTGCTGTTAATTATCCTTCATTTCACAAGCACAAAATGCACCTATTCTTTATTACCCATTCACCGATTGCCATTCTACACGTAAATGCTCATGTCACATCATTGGAGGATGATAATTAATGAAAATTACAACAATGCGTCACAAAAGAGGGTGTAAAAAGAGGAGAGGGAGAAAGGTGTTTAAGGCATCATTTAAGAGGTGATTGATTTGGAAATTCCAAAGGCAACATCATCACATGACCTGATTTTAACATATCTGAGGTATTATAGTAGATATTGATGCTCAACGTGTTACTGAAGCAATTACATTTAAAGTGGTGAGCGGCTTTAATGTCACACTGACATAATTCTAGGTATTTCATAAAAGGAATAGATTATACAACATAATTAAATGAAATTTTGAAAATGTTAGAAATACTCTGTACCCCAATTAAAATATCAACAACATGAAAATCAAATCTCATTAGGGTGTTTTTTCACTCTTGTCTGCTTTATTAAAATGTCAAGTGTTGGTCATTTTGAAGTGGTCAATTTAGAAAGCATTTATGGAAACACCGAATTCATCACCAAACATCGGACTCTGACAATGAAGTTCTAATGAACATTTAGTTGCACAAAGCGGAGTCACTGGACCTGGGGTTCCTTCAACTAAGGACACTAATAACTATGAGAGTAGGTCCAAGAAAGTAACTGATGCAGACTTGAAAAAATATGCAGAAATGTCCACAACCCCCCCCCCCCCCCCCCCCCCCCCCCACACACACACACACAAAATGTGAACTCAAATTCTTCCAAAATAAATGTAATAATGTATTGATTGTTGATTTAATTCTAAATTGTAAATAAGGATAAAATCCAATAATCCCGATGGTCGAAGAAGGATTTTAAAGGTTTTACCTCTATTTCTCCAACTGGGCCCCGCCCTTCTGCCCCCTGGGAGACCACACCCACTGCTTATACAAAATTGAGTCCCCTTGGCTAATTGATGCTCCAGACTATATTAAGATAAAATCTATAGTAGAAGAAGGATTATAAAGGTTTTACCTATATTTCCCCTATATTTCCCCTATCTGGCCCCGGCCCTCAGGTCCCAGGGGGGCCACACCTACCATTTATACAAAATTGTTTCCCCTTCACCCAAGGGTGCTTCATACCAAATTTTGACAAAATCCAGTCAATCCTACAAAAGAAGGATTTTGAAGAATTTGCTATGTTTCCCCTATTGGGCCCCTCCCTTCTGCCCTCTGGGGGGCCACACTCGCTGTTTATACGAGGCCATTTTGCCTAAGGATGCTCCAGACTAAATTAGGATAATATCCCTTAATCCCTATGGTAGAAGAAGGATTATAAAGGTTTTACCTATATTTCCCCTATCTGGCCCCGGCCCTCGGGTCCCAGGGGGGCCACACCCACCATTTATACAAAATTGATTCCCCTTTACCCAAGGATGCTCCACACCAAATATGGACCAAATCCTTTCATTCCTACAGACGGAGAATTTTAAGGAATAATTTGCTAAGTTTCCCCTATTGGGCCCCACCCCTCAGCCCCTAGGGGTGTCAGACACACCGTTTATACAAAATTGGTTTCTATTCAGCCAAGAATGCTTCAGACCAAATATAGACTAAATCCTTTCATTCCTACAGAATAAGAAGGATTTTAAAGAATTTGCTTTGTTTCCCCTATTGGGCCCTGCCCTTCAGGCCCCTGGGGGGCCCACCCACGGTATATACAAAATTTGTTCCCCTTCACCCAAGGATGCTTCTGACCAAATATGGAACAAATCCTTTCATTCCTACAGAAGGAGAAGGATTTTAAAGAATAATTTGCAATGTTTCCCCTATTGGGCCCTGCCCCTCAGGCCCCTGGGGGCCAGACTCACGGTTTATACAACATTGGTTTCCCTTCACTCAAGAATGCTTCAGACCAAATATGGAACAAATCCTTTCATTCCTACAGAAGAATTTGTTTCCCTTCCCCCAATGTTGCTTCTGACCAAATTTGGTCAAAATCTGCTCAGTCGTTCATGCCCAGTAGCGTTTTAAAATAAAAGTCCTTCGGACCAGATGAGCTAAAAAAAAAACCACCATCAGACATGTTTCTCCTGTACTCTACATGTGCTTTCCTGTTCTCCGTTTGAAAAAGAAAATTATATTTATAATTACCAAAGAAAAGACAGCTCGCATGTGCTATTATTCTTAAAACGTCACTATAAAGTCATCACTGTATGCAGCGTAACCGCATATAAATATAATCGCGTCATCAGTTTTGATACGCATCTCTGCGTCACTGAAAGCATTAGAATTAACAATGATATATTGAAGTATTTTTACTGTTGTAAGTAGAAATGCTTTGGAGAAAAATTATCCATCACTATTGTGTGAGGCTCAAAATGCTTGGGTTGATATATTTTTTTAGGTTCAAATATTTTACTTTCTCAGCAAGTGGAAGCAACAGCAAGGAACAAAAACATTTCAATAAATTTTAAATATGATTTTTTTTTAATTTACAACCCAGTTAAAAAGCCATGAACAAGATGTTTTTATTAGTCCAGATTTTAAATATGATATCACTACTAACAAGTACAGTTATCAATTTTTATACACCTATTACCAAAACGTCTTGTATAAAGCTATTACTGTCAATAGCATGTTATATAATGATAATAAAATAATATATAACACTTGATATAGGCTTTACAGCTATATACAGTTTATACAATCAATACAATTAGCATTTACATTAATCAATATACTTTTCTTTTACAGGAGCTGCCTTAGCAGGCAATGACTACTAGTCCTATGCCACCTGCAGCTGGATAATATCTCCCTATGTGATAATGGGTGTATCCCTGCGGTATCGACATTTGACTTGTCAAAGTTTTCGCGTTGGCAGGATAAATGTTAACTAGTTCGTCACTTTGTTAGAAAATAAATCAACCTGATATTTCAATAAGATTGACATCAATTTCGTGTGGTTTCCTAACAAAGCGCCCATAGTTTGACGTTTACTTGTTAGGTGTTAGAGGAACTAAAAGATATCTGTTGAATTCGTCCACCGTATCCACAGCTACGCATGCGTGTACTGCTCCCTGTTTACCTAGAAAAACAGCGTCATCGTTTACGGGGTAAACAGGCTGGTGCCAGATCTTCGCATGAATCTGAACCCCAAAGGATCCATCGAAATAAAAAGCCAAAAAATCTTCCGGCTTGACGTCATCTCCGGGAAGAGCCAAAAGTGCGACAAAAGCATCGCCATTTTGTGGGAAGAACACCTGTCCCCCATCCGGATGGTAATTAGCTTCTCTTGTTAGTACGCACGTACGATCTTTTGTATCCGCTTCCGGCGGAAGTCGTCCTGTGACATAGTCGCCTCCAACAGCCTTGTTCACGGCTTTACAAAGGTCTCCTTCCCATTTGTAGATAAATTCTCCACTTACGATTCCTCCACCACTTCCGGTGCTAGAACACAACTTCCGCCATCCATTAACAGGCCATGGAGTTATTTCAACTTCCGTTTTCTCAAAGTCCGTAACAATCGTTCCGTATCCCTTCAGTGTGTTTACGTTGGCTATGACGAGAGGAACCGGATGCGGTCTGTCGTATTTCTGATCATGCACATCGTCGTAACAAGCATATCCACTCATCTCCAATGTTGCTTTTACCTGTAAATACAGTAGAATTTTATACAAACGTTAAACATTTTAGTTTGATGTTCTGTCTTTTTTTCGCTGTAGTTCTATATTTTTCAAAACACATCAGACATGAATTGTCATTCCCGTTAACTTAAGAATCCCTGTCCTATTGCAAACAAAACAATAAAGAATTCCGTTTATACAGTAACCTTTCCTCGGTTTCGTTTATGAATAGTTGTGTGGCGACAGGACCAGGGTACCGACGTTATCCAGTTACATTTTGTTGTCGCTTATAAATCGAGTCATTTCGGTACGGTGACGGTAAACTTCTTCTTCCCAATTGTAGATAAATTCTCCACTAACGATTCCTCCACCACTTCCGGTGCTAGCACACAGCTTCAGCCATCCAATAACAGGCCATGAAGTTGTGATCCCTCCGTCAGTGGACATAACCACGAATAATGAGAGCCGTTACAAATCCCCATTGACTCCATGAGTATCTCGCCCCCAACCCCACTCCATTCCCATCCCCCACCCCCTAATAATCCATAATTTTTGATTCTATTCATAGATGATGTATTTTTTCATCTTGACTTTTGTTTCCATTCATAAATGTGAAAAAGAAGAAAGGCATATCCTAAGAATATGGTAGATACTCGCCCACCTTGGGTTTTATTCCAACTGATGATAGAATAAAAAAGGTGAGAAAAAACGTATTTTTTCCCGATGATGTGTTTTTAATGACATCGTTGACATTTTAGGCATTTAGCACCCTGGTAAAATACTAGCTGACTCAACTATAGGGAGCTTTGACCAATATCACAATAACCAATTGAACACTCGGGACGACTTCTATCCTGGAGCACTTTGAAGTCGGCATCAGATCCGCGCTATCACAAGGAGGCAACGACATCAACATACCCTGGCACACTTACACGCATAAACAACACATATGGATTCACGTCCTTAAAAGACATTAGCTGTTAATAGGACGTTTAACAAAATTAAACCAAACCAAACCAATCTTTCCTAGCGGTAGAGTGAGTCACCCTGATATATATAATAGCTTCTCCATACCGACTCGACAAGGAAGAATTGCTTCCTAGCTCATTCGGTAGAGCATAACACTATTAAGTCAGAGTTTCTGGATTGAACTCAATGCGGAGGCATTGAATAAATAACGACCTCTGTCACACATTTATTTGAGTATATTACTTGAAGGCATATTTTAAGGGTGTTATAAACCTCTAGGTTTATGTTAAAATACGACGTTATATGTATCTACCTAACGATGTATTTTTGATGACGTTATCAACCTTATGAATTCCTTTAGAGTACATTACTAACAATAAGCATTCAGGTTGTCGGTGAAATATGCCGTAATGAAGATTAATAATCTCAAAGTACAGTGTAGGTATGTTGGATAGGGAAAATTTACCTGAGGGTGTGTCCCTGCAGGAAGGGAGAAAGAAGTGTACCTGTTGCCCCCATTGCATGATCGTAAGAGGCGACTAAATTTGGAATCTTATCTTTTCTCTTCTTTCTAAACAACTTCTTCCTAATGTCTCCCTTGACAATACCTCACTTTTGGCCTTTAGTTGAACGTTCGCCCCTGTGAGGAAGGCTTTGGGGTCTGTCCCCTGGCCGAGACATACCATAGTCTGTAAAAATGGTAGTTTTTACTCCTGCTTAGCGCTCAGCGATTTAGGAGTGGAACGACTTGTTCGCCCGTTGTCAGTATACTGTGACCGGGTGGGGTGTCTTTGGCAGTATGTTTCAGTGAGGTAGCACTATAGAGTCGGCATCAGTTCAGCGCTCTCACAAGGAGACAAACACGAACATATCGCAGCCTCCCAAAACAAACACGCATACACTACACACATGCATCTTGGACACTGGCGAAGCCGTCCTAATATGACCATAGCTGTTGATAGGACGTTAAACAATATTAAACCAAACGCAACCTGAAGGTGTAGAATTTGAGTCTGAACCGAGGCTTATAGAAACGTTGATTAGGCATGTGCGCTGTGTAAGGGCTGCACCCAGGATAGATTTTTCCTGGACCACATACCTATATAATGATAGACTCTTTTTCTCCCACCTTGTTCTACTAGGCAATTCGGTAAAGAGCGGCAACAATACTCTTGAATGACGTCATTAAAATATACATCTATAACACTGCACGTACGAAGTAAATCCATTAAAGTGCCAAACGTCTGTTTGATTTAGAACTGATCCTGCGGTTACAATAAGTCCAAATAGTGGGCCGGTAGTGCTTGTACTATCCGAGCCCCGAGTCCCAAGTCCGACCCTCCCGGGTCCGACTATCCCTACTTCCTGTCAAGTGAGTCCGGCATACTTTAATATAATAATATAAATCTACATTGGTCATATTTTTGTTTTTATAATAGATCATCTTTGACATCCATGGATCAAGCCTTAGTTATATCATTAATTCTTTCATTGCAAATTGTTGACCAATTATAGATTAAAATTACTTATTTTCTCACGGGAGTAGCAACAATGTACAGCACAAATGTCCTTGTGTCAAATTTTGTTTTGACATTTAAACATCTGTGACCTTCCAGGGGGTCCTCCGAGTGCAACCATATGCAACAACAAAAGGCAGTAGTTGTTTTATGAAAAAATGGCAAGTCAATCATCTATTCTTTCATAAAGCAGCATTTTGATCATGCTTGTTTCAGGCAACACACTGACTGAGATTACGTTTGCCAAATTTGATCAAAATCAACAACTGATGTATCATGTTTAACATTTCAAGTTGAAGCATGTTTTAAACATGTAAGTGTTTCCTTTTCTTTTAAATGGTCTGGCTTTGGCCGTTATCAGCTAGAGTTTTAAAAGGCTCAAGTATGTTTCATATGAGAAATTCAACACGTGTCAAATTACCTTGAGAACAACATTTCAAAATAAGATATACATGTACAACTGAACTTTCCAACGTTGCTTTATTACGATAACGCTCTCCATATTTTCGCTTTAAGTTTTAAAAAACCTGTTTCATAACTGTTGTAAAATAAATAAAGTTCATATTTATATAAATAGAATTACAGGTGACGAAAAAGAAGGAGAAATTTCAGAAGAGAGGTGTGGCGCAATTTGGCCTGTTTTGAGCTAACGTTGACCAACATTAAACTCAAAAGTGATATTGTCGATTTCGGCAAATAGATATCTAACCTGGATTTAGTGTATCCCAATGTCTATGAACGGAAAACAAATCTTAGGTATATGTCGTTCGTTAAATCTGACAGACCGTCAAAATTGCTACTTTGAACAATATGCAATAAAGCATGAATATGTTTTATACATAAAGCGCAAGAAGGCACCACTTTTTAGGCTTTAAAACTTCTGAAACAAAGTGGTACTGGCATGCGCTACTACCGCTATTTTCAAAAATTTGAAAAACATAATCTGACCAATTTTCTTATCAGGTTATTGCATTCCGTCTTGGACAAAGAAATGAAATACCTTGTACCGTCACAGAAAGACGTATCCTCGATACCTCAGGGGTTACACTCACTTCCGCGCTGTGCAGAGTGCGAAAGTGAGCGTAAGCCTGGAGTATAAAGACTGAGCAAGCCGTAGGTCAGATAGATAAAGGGGTTGTACATGCATTTCAAGATTGGGAGGTCAAACCCATGTCCTGGATAGTGTATGATGTAGTTTATCAGTACAGTGCATATATACAGTGCAAATTCTCCTTCAGCACAAGGTCACGTGGTAATCCCATGATATAGCGATAGTATTTCCAGCATTCGGTGCGTTTTTTTGTTCCCAGCGATGTTAAATGTCAGAGTTCAACTCCTTTACGGATCAGTTAACATCGTGGTTTATATTTAACATCGAACTTTCGTTTTGAACTATATCTGATAACGAGTGGTTTATGAAGGTTGTTGAGTATTATTGTGGAAGTTTGCGTTCTTTTAGAGGATTATTACAGTGACCTGTGAGGCTTTATGAACTTTACGACGCAATGGCGTCCAGTAGTAAGGATTATGCAATTTTAGAAAGACTAAACCAGGTGACGGAGGAATGGCTCTCAAATGAAACTGGGCCAATTCCTGCAAGCAAGAAACTATTGACACAATAAGGAAAATGTCCCCCTGTCCTTCACATATCGACATGTGTGTGAAAGTGACGATTTGTTTCTAAAATATCAGTTGGAAGTGCGCTCCGGGCGCGGGTCGAATATTTCCCGCATTTTATAACGGGCCGGAGTTCTGACGTTAATCGACGACAGACCGATATGAAAGAAATCGATAAATTGTCAGAATAATTCGGACTAGCAGTCAAACGGACCAATATTGGACAAATGATTATTTCGACATATTCGTTAAACTACAAAATGAGCAAATGCAGGTTATGGCTGGAATATTAAAAGCCATGTCGGGAAATCTGACAAAAGCCCAAGGACAAGATCATGACACGTGACCGTGAGTGACAAGGGCCAACAGCTCCAAACGTAAACAAACCTACGGCACAAGATGGCGACTTGTACGACAAGTTGGTTGTTAGAATACCACACTCAGGACGTGAACGTGTCAAAGATATAAAATAAAAAAAGGAATTCAATTGTATGTGTGTGTTATGCGACGAAAAGAATCCGATGTTTTTTTTTACATAATTTCATGCATTCGAAGACGCGTGCTCTGTTTTGTTGTGTTACGGCCCATCGGTAATGAGAGTAATGTAGGGGGCGGTCAACAAGGCAAACAGACAGATTCTACTATAAGTCGTAGGTGGGCTAGCAGATTATGACAAGGTGGCCATTCGTCCTGCATGAGGACGACACTCACATATACAAGCATCCTAACATGCTAGTACTTAGTTTCTAAAGCAATTAAGACTATTTACAGCCTTATTGTCATGCATGCGATCAACCATTTACAGTCAAACACTTGATGAGTGAATGCACTGATTTCAAACAATTACGTGACAGATTTTATGATGTAGCGTCTATGAAATGATTATTCGAATCAGTTTATGTGCAATAAATATTTGACTTTTTACACTCTATTGATCTTTCCAATAAAATATGATATATTGTGCAGCCCTAAATGACTCACATTGTCGATGGACATCCATTACACAGCCCACTAGCGCATAGTATATTCCCATGTCAGGTACATATGTAGTCACACGGCTAACGCAGGGTATACCGTCCTCATGTGCACCCACACATGCATTTTCATAAGGATCTTGATATTTTACAAAACACTATTTATACAGAGTAAGTGCATTGCGTTTGTAAAAACGATTTACTCGACAGAGCGTATCTCGCCCGACAACAAAAATCGTAACGACCTCGACCTTGTGAACCGGTGTAAGCACGTGATATGTACATTTCATCAGTCCGCATTTCTTGCGCTTCACATATTACCTTCTCAAAACAAGCCGTCTTTAACCAAGTGATCTAACTAGCAGCTATAGATGTTTATATTACCGAGGATCCAAAGTAACAGCGAACTCATTTTAAATTACGACATAGGGTGAACTTCTTATCTATAATTGGTATAACAACAAATGAATTGATTGTGTAGTCATGTTAATGAACATCGGACAAGATTTGTATATGTTGTGACTATCGACTATCGGCTACCAAATGTGTTCTCCTTTAGTTTACGTAGAAACACGAACCATATATTAGGAGTTTGTGCGAAATTGTGAACTTCCGGTATGAATAACTAAAATAGTTCCCACTTGCGCAGAATAAATGTACATCACGTATATATGATATATGTTATGTATAAAAAGTGACTAATTTGTTGAATTCTGTGAATAGGTAAAAACGACTGCATTGACTAATTTTTAGTCCAAAGGGCAATGTTAGTACGCCCTTTCGCATTGTCCGTCACCCGTCAGTCTCTCGACTGCATTGTATTCCTTTAAAACGCTACTAGTCCAGAACGGCTGGGTGGATTTAGAGTACTTTTGGTCTTGATATTTGTTGGTCAATGGGTTAAGAATAGTGTTGCCAACGTGAGGTCAGAGGAGGGGCGGTTCTATTAGGGAATATTCGGGCTGCTATACACTAATAGGAAATATTAGGGTGAAACATTTATTTTATACGGAAGGATAATGTAACAATGAATATGCATAATACTACTCTTGAACTCGTCGCTTGAGTATTTATTCTTGTAAAATAGACCAGGGGGATCTGGTTTGGTTCAGTATTGTTTAACGTCCTGTCAACAGCTATGGTCATTTAAGGACGGCCTCCCCTGTGTGCAAGATACATGCGTGAAGTGTATGCATGTGTGTTTTGGGAGACTGTGATATGTTCGTGTTTGTCTCCTTGTGATAGCGCGGAACTGATGCCGACTTTATAGTGCTACCTCACTGAAACATACTGCCGAAACCACCCAGCAGGACACCCCAGCCGGTCACATTATACTGACAACAAGCGAACCAGTCGTTCCACTCCTAAATTGCTGAGCGTTAAGCAGGAGTAGAAACAACCATTTTTTAAAGACTCTGGTATGTCTCAGCTAGGTGACAGAACCCAAAGCCTTCCTCAAAGTGGCGAACGCTCAACTAAAGGCCAGAAGTGACGCATTGGCAAGGGAGACATTAGGAAGAAGAAATTGTTAAGAAAGAAGAAATATAAGATCCCAAATTAAGTCGCCTCTGCAGGGATAGACCAGGGGGAACGTTGCTTCTGTTTTCAACAGTAGCATACTACATTGTTTCTCTGGTCTTTCAATATTTGTATTATCAAATGTTCCAGAAGCTGATAAAAATGTTATCGACCCCGTAGATATGGTGTCGCTAATACTGATGTTCATCGTATAGAGCTCGGGACTGAATTGCATATAGTTTTATTGTCAAACGTGAAGTCAAGATGTTGGGAAGGAAGGAAGGAAAAAACATATTGTTATCACTTTTAACGAAAACAAATCTGCAAATCGATCCCGAACACTACATACGTAAATATCAGTATTAGGGAGACCATCTATACAGAGTCGATTCTCTTAGCGTAAGCTACTGTTTGGAATATTACAAAATACAAAACTTGACAGATTTCTGTCATTGTGACAATGTATAGGTTTACTGATATGCTTTTATTTAAACAGAAGCAAAGCTCGCTTTGTTTTATTATATCAGAAGGAAAAGTCGAAGGGCGATATCAACGTGTTATCTTGGAAGAAAATGTGATCTTGCATTAATCATTTTTTTTATCACTGATAGCTTCCTGTAATAGAACCCAATAAAGTTTGAGAATGAAAATGACGTTGACCTGCTTTCAAGGTCATATGGGTCAAATATGTCAAACGCTTCAAACCACTTCTTCTGAAGAGCTGAAAGGTATAGACTTTTCAAATTTGCTGCTGGCTTATTGGGCTATAGTCCGGCAAAGTTTGAGAATGATAATGACTTTGACCTTCTTTCAAGGTATCGGGGGTTAAACTTTAACCTACTTAATATTAAATTTTTAAGAAGGAAAAGGTATAAAATCTTCATATTTGGTTGGTGGTTTCCTGGGATAGAGCCCGACAAAGTTTGAAAATGAAAATGACCTTGACCTACTTTCAAGGTCTAAGGGGTCAAATATGTCAAACACTTCAAACGACATCTTCTGAAGAACTAAAGGGTATAGAATCTTCATATTTTGCTGGTTTCTTCCTGTGATAGAGCCCGACAAAGTGTGAAAACGAAAATGACCTTGATCTACTTAAAAGGTCACAGGGGTCAAATGTGTCAAAACCTATAAATGACTTCTTCTTAATAATCTTAGAGCATAGTTTGATAATATTTAGCTCGTAGCGTCTGGCAAATTTTGAAAATGAAAATAACCTCCTGGTCACACAGGGGTCAAATATGTCAAACAACTTCTTAAGAAGAACCAAAAAGCATATAATCATATAATGATACTTGGCTGTTAGTTTGCAGATGGAGCTGACAAAGTTTGCGAGTAAAATATTTGTACATGATATTATACAATGATAATATTTTGCCACAGTTGTAGGATCGCACAACGTTACACGATGTGCAACAACGTTACACGATGTGCAACAACGTTACACGATGTGCAGTGTGCGCACGATGTGTGCACGATGTGTGCACGAAGTGCGAACGATACAAAATTGGACGATCATTGCTTGTGCACATTTGTGCGGACGATCGACGAACGTTGTGCGATAACAAGCGTGGTTGGTGTAAATTGAGGAATGGCTTAAAAATAAATACAGTTTCGTGTTTAAACATATAAACTTGATTTTTTAGCTTATCTTTCTGTCTATACCTTCTTAAATTTAGAAATGGTGATTTTCGGTGTTTTTTAAAGGACCTTAATCGACACATGTAAAATAACAACACTGTCTCGGCAACACAGGTAAACATAGCCACTTTGTACCTGGACCGTAGCTTTTCCCCGCCCGAGGCACTTACGTAACTCACAAAGGTGTGAAAACCAGGTGAAGGGGATCTATAGACCAAAACGAATGCAAATAACAAATATTAATCGTCCAGTTGTGTTTTCATAACGGTCATACGGTATCACATATCAGCTCTATGTGTCAGACAAAGGCCAGGTAAAACTCCGGTCACTCATCAAAGTGTTATTTACCTGTTCTGTTACCGAGGAGCCAAACCAATTCTTGACAGTCCAACGGTCATTGTTACACGCATTGTAAAATTGTATATAATCTTAGTTCTAGAGATGAGAGAATAACAGTAATTTATACAGTGTACATTATTGCATACGAGCCTTCCGTATTTTTTCATTCCGTAATATTGATCAACAAATTGTACCAAATCGCACAGTTGTGCGGAGGAAAGCGCACAACGGGGCGAACTGTATGACTGCTTAAATATTCCTTCCGGTGAGCGATACATGTCTCTGGGCCTCTTGTTGTGATAACAATACACACTCCGACACTTTTGCAGGGATACACCTGTGCAATCTGACACACTTGGTAAACTACTGGGTGTCTTCTGCAGTATGTTTCAGTGAGGTAGCACTATAAAGTCGGCATCAATTCCGCGCTATCACAAGGAGACAAACAAGGACATATGTCACATATCGCAGCCTCCCAAAACACATACGCATATACTACACGCTTGCATCTTGCACATAGGGGAGGCCGTCCTATGACCCTAGCTGTTGATAGGACGTTAAAAAACACTAAACTAAACCGTTGATAAAGATTAACAATTCAATACATTTTGACAACAAGTTTTCCATTCGTTTGTAGCAATCTAGAAACCAGTTTCTGGAAGAATGTCGGTCTAAAAACCATATCGACTTTGTGGTACAAAAAATAACAAATTTGTTATGTATATAAAACTATGTAATTTTTCCATGTATTGGACTTTTCATAACAATGAAACTTGTGTGAAAATGATACAATGTAATTTGCTATTCAGATTTTCACTGTGAATAAAAGCTTTGTGCTTAAGGACGTATTTACGACACGCACTAAGCCGACGGTAGTAAAAACAAGGGAGAAAACCCCTGAACTTTTTATAATTATCTTTACACGTAGGAATGGTTATGATCATGTATATACACCTATTCACCCCTGCTGCTATACAGTTGTAACTGTAATTTCGAAATAAACCTAATGATTGATAAGGACTAGATTCATAAACAAGAGGTCCACAGGGCCTGTATCGTTCACCTGGAAATGTTAGCAAAATTGAAGTTATAATAGCGTGATGATGTTACTGTTAGTGTAAATGTATTACATGGTTATTCAGGGGTTATATTTATATGCAATTGGACAAAATCTTGTCATTCCTAAAATAAAAGGAGCATTTTGAAGAATTTGCTATGTTTCTCCTATTGGGCCCCGTCCCTCTGTNGGGGGGGGGGGGGGGGGGGGGGGGGTCAGACCCTTCGTTGATACAAATGATACAAAATTAGTACCCCTACACCCAAGGATGCTTTAGACCAAATATGCACCCAAGGGTAAGGGTGCTTTATCCCAAATTTAATCAAAATCCTGTTATTCCAACAGAAGCAGAAGAATTTTTTTTGGCCCCGCCTCTTAGGCCACAGGGGATCCACACCCACCATTTATACAAAATTGATTTCCCTTCCAAATATGATGCTATTGTTCAAATTTGGTCAAAATACATGTACTTTCATCCCAACGGAAGAAGAAGGAAATTAAAGCTATTCCCCTTTATCCCTTATTGGGCCCTCAGTGGGGCCACACCCACCCT